TGTTATCGTTGTGATTATTTACATGACGAGATTATCAAAAACGGACATCATTAAAATCTGAACTAGTTTTGAGTACTTGATCCGTCCATTTTGACACATGTCATGATTTTTTCCAACTGGGCACGTTTGATTATATTTTTTACTTGTACACATTCGTGAGAAATTTTTGAAGAGTTGATATACAAGAGAATTTGTGTTACATTTTCATAATATAGCTGGATAATGTGTCTCACCCATGTGTGTCAATGTAATACACTAGTGATAATTGTGATTATGGATTATAATTATCAATAATTAATTAACCCAAAATTAAGTTTTGTACCAGCTGGTCGGTCCATCTTTTCATTGGATGCCTTGTGACAATCCAAATTTCTTTGATGGGTCACTTATTTTGGAGACAAACTTTACCTGCATGGGCTTTATGAGTTGAATTGAATAAAGAACACTTCTTTTCCCCCTTGTGCATGCTGTGAAATCAGAATCATTTATTACAAAGTAGGTCCATTACTAATTCGAAATGTCTAAAATTATTCATGCAGAATAATCAAATGGAAAACATTGACTAAAAAGCAATATGATTCTTGGCTTGTATGGTGGGAGGCCAATTGTACCAAGTCATGAATGTGTTATGTACAATTTAATTGAAACTAGACAGATCGAGTTGGGCACAATTCTAGAGGCCATTAACAACAGTTATTTCGTGTTTGATGTTTCTCTTTAGTTTTTCAAGATTCTAGATTGCTTAATAATTTAAGTATACCATATTGAACTGAGATGAAAATATGGTTAAGTGAACATAAACCATCTATACACTCGAGTATGTATTTGTAAAAGCTCATTTTTTTCCTTTTTTTTATTTGAGTATAGACTCGAGTATGTATTTGTAAAAGCCCATTTTTTTCCTTTTTTTATTCAAGTTAAAAAAAAATGCAAAATTAAAGTGGATTGAATTGGTAAAAAGCCATCGGAATGACCAGGCATAAAGGGTACATAGGCACTGAATTGGGTTGAAAGTGAAAGTCTTGAAAAATTGAAAGAATGCTCTTGAAACTAACTTTTTTGAGGGAGATCTATGAGAATGAAATTTCGTGTGCAAAGTGAAATCGGTCAAACATTTTGTTAAGAGTTTTTGAGCGTGGGCCATACCGCTAAAGTAGTCATAGAAATCTGCAACTCTAGAAGGGGCTAGTAAACGTCCGAATCCTTGGAGAAATAATAATGCTATCTAACATCACTGATATTACAATATCAATTTAAATTACATTAAATAATAAACTCAATAAAAGGGATTGCTAAAGGATTCATTTAATTACTTCTTTCATTAAATGTCACATTAGTGTCAGTAACACCAATGATGTTAAATAGCGTTAATCTAGAGAAATACTCTGTCAAACAATAAAAACTTATATGCTACAAATTTAGAATGAATTTGAATTTGGATTTTGGATTTGAATTCGATTTCGAATAGGGATAGCAACTACAAAAGATGAAAATGTTATTAGTACAGAACGTCCATATATATATATATATATATATAATTCATTGTGCGAGACATCCCAACATCACATTTTTATTTTTGTATTTTCAACCCTATTTTAACATTTCATTATGAAAGTAATCATTTTTATCAATTTTCATCCAATTTCTTAATAAAAAGCTATAAAATGAAGAATATACTCTCATACTTAAATAAAACAAAGATTAAAAAAAATAAAGAACTAATTGCAACTATACTCCATTTAAAAAAAAAAAAAAAAGGGCAAACGAATTCCAAATAAATTATTAAAAATTTAAATAAGGGATGTCATAATTGGGGTTTCGAATAAGTCGGCCTTTTAATTTTTCATTGTATCATTGAAAAAGGAAATTAAAAAAAAAATCTCGTTTTTCCTGTTCGAGTTTCACATTCTTCTTTTCATGAACTTGGTATTGACCCAATTCCAGCATCACTGAAGCTTTTACTTTTCGACTAGACTCCAGTATCCAAAACTCCAACGATAACTTCATTAATAGAGTCAGAATTTGGGAACACAATAGCGTTCTGGTCGAGACCAAGAAACAAAGGGTCCGAGTACGTGGAGTTCATACTTAACCTCCTCACTAATCGACAAAATCCCAAGCTAATTTTCTATCTGCTTGGCTTCTTTTGCTATCAATTGAGTGGAAAATCCACGACCGACATTGATATAAGTTTTACAACATCTTCACCAAGTCAGACATCGATTTGAGCGACGAGTCATACAAGTGACTTCAGTTGATTTGTCCATGTAAACAGCATATATCTTCTTCGTTGCAAATGACACATTGTAGAGACCCAGAATCACCAGTATTCCAAGGGCTACAAATCCGAAAAATTTCAATTTTAATCTCCATTTTTATGTGTTGATGAAGAAAGTTGAACTATATATGGCTTCTTCACTGCAAAGGACACATTGCAAAGACCCGGAATCACTAGAATTCCATGAACTACAAATTTGAAAATTTCGATTTTAATCTCCATTTTATTTTTGTATGTTAATGAAGAAAGTTTTAAGGAATATATTGAAGAGTTCAGGAAAATCCCACTAAGTTTTATAGGAGATTTATTTCTTTTCAACTCAACCCGTATAGGCGTATACCCATGTGAACCAGGTGGCGATGGAAGAGGAGGAGAAAGAAAAGCGAATTTTTTTTTAAAAAAAAATTTAATAATTTATTTGGAACTTTTTTCTTAATTTGCGAATAAGGTTGTAATTAATTTTTTTATTCTTCTTTTCTTCCCTTTTTGTTTTATTTAAAGAAGATGGTATATTAATCATTTCACAATATTTTATTTAGAAATTGGATGAAAATTGATGAAAAAGATTATTTTCGCAATAAAAGATTGAAATGGGGGTGAAAAAATATATAAAAAAAAATAAAACGTTGGTTCTAATAACCCAAAGATGAAACTCGAAACTAATCAAGTTCATCTCACATAAATGGATGGCCCAATGACAACTCAGATCAGGTTCCAAGTGGGTCTACTTCACTGCAATATGGGCCTACAGTGCCTCGTAGCCCAAATAAACATATTAGTCAATTTCAGTACTTATTAATGAAACGAAAAATTCATAAATACATGCACTAAGAAAACATTTTAATTTTTTACTACAATATATTTTTGTATATTACTTTCACTTATTCAATCAGAAATACTAAGAGGCGGCCCCTCAGGGCACATCCGAGCTGGTGGAACAATTGCGTTGGTGGACTCACAAACCAAGCGTGGAAGGTTCGATTCCTGGAAGGCAACATCTTGGAAGGGAATTTATTTCGAAAGCAAGGTGCCGGAAGGCAGTGGAGAGTGCCCTCTTTGAGGAAGGAGTAAAAAGTCATGCAGGAATTTGGGAACCAATAAAGGCACAACTCGCGATTAACTTCCTCAAGCTAATGAGGGGCCGGAGACTTGAGGTCCAGGATTTAGTCTGACGAAGATGGGACACCTAGGTATCAAAAAAAAAAATACTAAGAGGCAAACTTTCCATATGTTATACGGTAACCGAACACGCTCACCCTAATTATTCCAATCTACATTCAATGCATCATAGCTAAAAATATGGGGAAGAACTCACTCTTCTCATCAGTTTCATCCATATTTGAAAGTGTAAAATCACTATTGTGTTCGTCTTGGTCCTTGAATATTTCAATTCCCTTAAAAGTCTTAGACAGAAAAGTAAGAAACGCGTCATTATGTGCAAATTTTGCTGTGAGTTATTGTCTTCGTGAACTTTCACGCATGATTTCCTTGCTTTTGTGTTGTTATGTAACATTTTTCTATGGTAACATTTCATCCTTGGAAAAAAAGACGTGGTACATATTTATCAGATTTCAGTAGTACCATGAATCACCGTGTTACCTGCAATATCGGATTCTTGTGAAATAGTTTGTGTAATTGTAGTATCATACAAACTGTCTGGCATATTCATTAAAATATCACATAATGTTGTGCATCTCTATGAAAATATTCATATCCATAACTATCTAGGTTCATATCTTCCAATGTTTACCATTTTGTATGAATCTTTTCAATGTACGTATAATCTTATGATGTGTAATGTATTGCTATTTTTTTATGCAGATATGGACTCGGCAAATATTTTCATAACGTGCAATTCAAGGACATTTGAACTTCTCGTGCCTAGTGGTACAAAGTACGTTGATCTTGTTGAGATCATATTAGCGAAAATGAAGATAAATATCGGTAATGCTATACTGAAAATGGAGTATGATGTTGGTGGAAACATGGCAATTCACTTTTCTTCTATATGGAGCTTAAAAGAAAGGATCATCGGTTTACAGCGTGCGTACTTAGCGTTGAGGTTGATCACGAGTTTAACATTTCTGCTAACAAATCTGTAAATGAGATAGCCACAACTTGTTTACCTATTGCACCTATAATGGAACGTCTTGATGCATAGCCTCTTTTACTTGCTCCAGCAACCAAAGTTCCATCAATTAATAAGTTTGCTGCAAGCATGCATGTGACTGATTTGCCAAGTGAAGAAGAAGCTAACAACGATGTATACAGTTTAGTTTCAAAGGCTGGCGAAGACTGTGTTATAGAAAACCAAATTTTTAGGGTTAAAAATGTGATGAAGATCAATGTTGCACTATATGCAATACGAAACAACTTTCAGTTCAATGTGTGTTGATATGTCGAGTTGAGGAATGCAAATGGAAGTTTAGGCCATCAAGGATGAGAAAGACAGATATGTTCAAGGTCCGCTATATACGTCATAGTCATAGCTGCCAAATGAATTCTATTATACAGGATCACTGTCAAGCGAGTAGCTCATTGATTGGTGAATTTATAAAGCATAAATGCAGGTCGAAAAGGGCAGTCTACACTCCTGTCAATATTATACATGAAATGGCAATAACATATGGGTTGACTTTGAGGTAGGTAAGGCTTGGAGAGCTTGTGAGCATGCATTGGAGGAGATAATGGGGATCCAGACGAGTCATATGCTAAATTACCAATGTACTGGGCCGAGCTTGAATGTAAGAATCCTGGTTCAAAAATAAATGTAAAAAAAGACAGTGATGGACATGTTAAATATGCTTTCATGTCATTGGGCGCATCAATACAGGGATGGAGATATTGCAAACCAGGCATGGTAGTTTATGCAACTTTCCTGACCTGGAGATACGACAGAAGCTTGTTCACTGCATGTACACAGGATGTAAATAATTCTATTTTCATACTGGCATTTGGTATTGGGGATTCGAAGAACAACGACTCTTGGAGTTGGTTCCTTAACTGCCTTAATGAAACATTCAGGGTAAGGGATGGCATATGTATCATCTCAAATCGTCATCAAAGCATCGAATACATGGTCAATACAATTTTCACAGGTGTACATCACAGTTTTTGCACACACCACATTCTTCAGAATTTGAGGACAGCATATGGCAATTCTACAAGCGAGATTACAAAAATGGAATACGAAAAGAGCTGGTAATATAAAAACATTAATACGTGAATTCCATAGTGACAGAATGTGTGAAGTGTGTTCATGCATTTATAGTTGACAACAAACACACATTCTTCTGCTACACATATGTTGTCATGTATTAGCACATTTCAAATTTCAAATTTCAAATTTCATTATATATTGGGTTTGTATACTACTATTTGTCCTACACCATTTACAGGAGAGGTTCACATTCATATTGCAAATGTGATGATTACATGAATCTCTTCATTTCCAATATTTATGCAATTCTGGTATGCATAACGTCGTCTATTACCTTTTACATTTATTGCAGGTTAAAATTGGTTATGAAAAAGGGTCAAGGACACTTTCGCTTACGAACAGATACGATATAATGACGACAAACATTTTGGAACCGATGTATGCAATGACAAAGTCGATTACGAATTGCACTATGGATTATTTATTTTGAGTCATTGCGATACATGTTGCAGACATGGTTCTCGAAGAACAAAAGTAATGCCGAAGGAATATTTACGCGACTTGCATCGAAATCGGAACACATGTTAGGAACTTGCGCAAAACGGTCGTTAAAGCTTAAGGTTTGATTTGAATTGTCAATTATGTACTATAAACTTCATTTATTTAAGTGATAATCTGCGAATCTTGTTTTATTTACTTTATCAAACTGAATTGTTTATTCAACTTTGGTGTTTCAAAAAAATAAAAATAAAAAAATCACTGATTTTTTGGTTTGATATTGATAAACTTCATCAAATTTATATTGCAATGTGCCAATGACACGATGTCGACAATAGTTCTTGACTTGAAAGTTGGATGACTCAGGTATCTACTTCAAATGAAAACTTGTACCAAGTGTCGGATGAAAACATGCAACATGTTGTAGATTTGTATATGATGACATGCACGTGCAATCGTTTTCAGAAGGACGGAGTACAGTGCCAATATGGATTAGCTACGATCGGTGAATGAGTAGAACAACCATACAATTATTGTTCGTAATACTACATGAAGGATTGTTACGTAGGTTGTTATGCTTTCATTGTACCGCTTGGTGATAATGTCTAATGGAAAGTAGACAACTATCGATGTCATGGTGAGATATTGCCGTCTATATCAAAAAGGCAATCAGGTAGATTCAAGAAGGCTAGGCGAAGAACAAGGGTTGAGATGTCCAACCCAACAAGGTGTCGAAAATGCGGGGGTTTGGATCACAATAGGAGAACTTACAAGCAACCTTGGAAAAACGTAAACGGGGTTTCAAAATATAGATCAATCAGATTCCGTATGTTCATCTTTCATTTTCTATCGATAATAAATCAATGTAATTGATTCCCAATGCAGTGATTTTCTGCTAAAATAAGATTTTAATATTTATATCATTAGGTCAATTAATATCAATCTTTGCCTTATACCCATTGTCTTCTAATTACATAAGTTGCAAATGAACATGCGCCTATATTATGTTTCAATTACCTTGATGTTAACTACGTTTGTCGTGTTTCTAATGAGTTTAGCTGAGATGAATTCCAAATCAATTCAATGGAATTTCATATAGGCAGTATTGAATCTATTATATTTTTAACTTTCATTACTTTTCTACATTTCTAACTCTCAGTAGTAAATCAATATTCAACTATGTCATCTGCACCAATCTATTTTCATGTTGAGTAATGTCATTGTTATCTAATCTGCATCTCATGCTGGGACCTAGGAGCTTAAATATGTGATACATTATACACAATTACAAATGCGCTATCAATACAAAAATGTTCCATTTCTTACATATGTGCACACCTGTTAGGAATCGCGGGGCAGAGTAGCAAAGGTACGAGCCTTACTCAATTCATAGCGAATTTCCAACTACATTAGCAGGAGTAAGAGTACTAAAAAGTAGAAGAATATACCATAGAATCTGCTTCATCGAATGAATGTAATATCCGACTTTCCCACATAATGCAGAATCTAAGTCCCAAAAAATATCTTGTTTTATCTTGTTAAGTATTGATATTATGTTATACGTCATGTAATTCAATTGTGCAACACAAATGAAAGCGGAGTAAAAGGGTATACTTTTGCATCCTGTTATGTTGAACTATAAAATGAACGAGAATTGGCTACAATCATACATCGGTGCAAGAATGAAATTTCATAACGACAGTCGTACTATAATAATTACAAATAAAATGCATCAATGTGTCATCATAGAAATCCTGAACTGTCATTCCAACATACTTCCAAGAATATCCAAAATGAAAATGTCCATCAAGCATATCAACTTAGTTTAACCGAACATAAAAGCGATAACAAACTATCCCTGATAACTAAACAAAAAAAGTAGAAATTTAGAAATGAATTCAGCTATTTAATAACGATGACCTTCAACTTCATATCCTTCCGAACAATGTGTGGCATAAGTTTGAAGTCGGTTTCGTAGTCTTCTATTTAGCTTCTCGCATCCATGCTTGAGTAGTTGAGCAACTATTCACATTCTCGAATTGCATGCATCAAAATTGTCTGCCATCCTATTGATCGTGTGGTTGATAATATATTTGACAAACTTAATGACATACAGACTGCAGTTATGGCTGCAAAATATGAGAATTCAGAATGTGGTCTTCATTGCACTTTGCATGCAGGGAGTACAGATATTTTTTCTATGAAAACATATGCTTCTGCATACATGTACATAACCAAATGACAAATAAATTCGTAAAGTCAGTCTCTATCAATAGGTCAAGACCAAAAACATTTTAGATCTTTCAAACAAATGCTATGACAAGATAACAGGTTTTGACATTCAAACGAGTTAACATCTGTAACTTCGCAATGGAAACAAAAAAATAATGGCAGACATTGTTAAACGTTTCTAGTCTTAGAAGTGAAAGAATCGACCACACTAGACCCCATGAAAAGAATCCTAGTCCTAACGTACACAAAGAATGAAAGAAAGAAAGAAACTATACGACATAGAATTGTCCAACACAAAAATCACATAGTTTTCCTAGCATATTCCACAAAAAAATGAGGTACGTTGTATAGAGATAACCACATGAAAACAGATATGAAACCTTTTCATACAGGGGCCAATCGTGTCCATGAAGAAAAATCCAAACATATCAATAATCTGTGATATCATTATAGATGAAATATTCATCCAGAAATTAAAAAATGAAATGACCACAAAAGCTTCAATTATATGTAAGAGGACATGATCAACATCATACTAAGTATTACGTATTATTACATTTGTATACAGTTAGTCAGTTAGTTGATTAGTTAGTTAACAGCTGGAATTAGTTGACAGCTGGAATTAGCTAGCTTCTTCTGTTTCCTTTCTATTTATACTTGTGTTGTAAAACTCTACTTACTTTCCGGTGATCAAATAAAAGAGTTTCTCTCTCTTCCTCAATTCAGTTTCAATATGGTATCAGAGCGGGAAAATTAAGCTTAGATCATCTTTACCTTCTTCATTTCTGAATCTCGTGGTTGTTAATTCAGCAATTTCAAACAGCAATGGAACAAACACAATCAGAATCTTCCGATTCAAGATCTGCCATAAGCAAATCCGCCATTGATGAATCTTCCAGTCCGTATTTCCTTCACCATTCAGATAGTCCTGGATTGGTGTTAGTGTCTCAACAGCTCACAGGAGAAAACTATGCCTCTTGGAGCCGTGCAATGACTATTGCATTATCAGTTAAGAATAAAATCGGCTTCATTGATGGATCCATGAAGGAACCAGCAGTCACCGATCCAGATCTGGTCAATTCATGGATTCGAAATAACAACATGGTGATATCTTGGATACTTAACTCGGTATCGAAGGACATTTCAGCAAGTGTAATCTATGCTTCTACTGCATACGAGATCTGGAACGATCTCAAAGAGAGATTTCAGCAAAGCAATGGCCCTCGGATTTTCCAACTAAGGAGGAAATTAATGAATTTAGCTCAAGATCAAGACACCGTAAGTGTATTTTTTACCAAACTTAAGACTATCTGGGAAGAATTGAGCAATTTTCGACCAAATTGTAGCTGTGGAAAGTGTGTTTGTGGAGGTGTTCAGGAATTAAACAAACATTATCAGGTGGAATATATCATGTCATTCCTCATGGGGTTGCATGAGTCCTTTTCCCAAGTTAGAGGTCAGATTCTCCTCATGGATCCTTTGCCATCAATTAATAAAGTGTTCGCATTAGTTACACAGGAAGAGAACCAGAGAAAATTGCGTACATATTCAGTTGGTAATGACTCAAGTGGGGAAACAGCCTTTGCCTTTAGATCTGATAAAGGCAAGGGAACATTCAATTCTGGTTCTTATGGTGACAGTACAAAACTTGGCAACAGGAAAAAGGAGAGACCATACTGTGTGCACTGCAAATATCATGGACATACAGTTGACAAATGCTATAAAATCCATGGTTTTCCACCAGGCTATAAGACAAGGTCAAGAGATAATCCCCAACATTTTTCCAATTCTAACTCTGTTAATCAAATTTCTGTCAATTCACAGAATGATGAGAAGCAAATGGATCAACAACTTGGTCTTGAGAAATTTATGCAGAACTTGGACTCAAATCAATACCAACACTTGATGACCATGCTATCTACCCACCTTGCTGCCAGTTCATAGTCTCCTTCAACTGATCCGGACAAAGGTGAACCAACATATGCTACAGGTATACATCATTCTAAATTGGTTAGTCCATCCTTTTCATCCAAAGACATTTGGATTATGGATTCAGGCGCCTCCAAGCATGTATGTTCAATTGCTGCTGCATTCGTAAACTTGAGACCTATTGTTAATTCAAGTGTAACTTTGCCCAATCATACACGAATTCCTGTCAATCTGTGTGGTGATGTCAGATTAGGGCCAAAATTGCTGCTGCGTGATGTTCTCTTTGTGCCTCAATTTAA